AATATGATAATCCACAATCTTCCTATGTACATTATCGAGTCTTATTGACTCAGCATGAATAATTACTGTTGAAAAGCTGTAAACCAAGAATGTATAGGAGCTACTAGGGTACTCTGTAAACAATCTATAAACTGGGTTGGTTTTTTGTGATTTCAGCTGTCACCATGCAGCTGCATCTCCTACACTCAACAGTGATTAGTGGTTCCCTCTAAGCACTCACACTCACAGTGGCAACCCTTACACTTAAATTGTCTACGTCACGAATCTCCTGAAAGTTATAGTTGAAACCTTATTTTTGTAATTTTTTTACATCAAAAGTTATAGTATACTAACGTTACTAAATATATCGTCAAACTCTCACCTGATAAAAATGTTTTTACGTTGGTTAAATTTGCAAAAATCTAGTCGATTTGAATTCCTGTTGTTTAACACTATTCACCCAGTACTGTACAGATACTGCATGGCGTCTCTCGGTTGCTGCACTGGTTGCTGTGGTCAATGTCATCGTGATTTGTGTATGATGCACAAAGTGGTGCCCAAACAGTTTCTGTTTTGATTTGTGTTAGCTATATAGAATATATAATATAGGAAAAATAAATAATATATGTTCATGTGTATTATGTTTGGAAAAATTATAAATAAAACTGCGAAATGCTATTTGTGTTTTTTAAATTTCTGCCAACAAAAATGTGTGTGACATCCCCCTTCACGCTAGATCGACTAAACGATAAACTAATGGTGGGCAAACCAGTTCAATTCAGTGCATCGGAAGGAAAACGAAGGAGAAAAATGCAGAAAGAAGTTTATATTAGAAAGTTTTAAAAGCTTTAAGTTTACAAGGCATTTCTATGGCTGCCACAATAATTTTGCCAATGCCTCGTTTACCGCAGATGTTCGCTATATCGGCTAGCTGCGTCTGGGCGCCACGCAAGAGTTTCGAATTAATGGCAGTTGCATTTGTGTCGAGCATTTGGTTACATCGAATGCACCGGCAAATTAGGGAGTATAAAAAAGGTATATTAGCATGAAAAGTAAACAGAAACACTAATTTTATTTTCATACATTTTATTTTGTACAAATAACACACAAATATACTACTTGCTGGTGCTAGAAATTCGTGACGTACACAGTTTAACGGGGATTGTTGGGTCTCTTTTGACACTCACCGCCGCAGCACCCCTTACACTCACCCGTGATCAGTGGCTCCCTCTATACGCACTCACCCGTGATGGAGTACGTGTATTTCTCCTCCGACTGCAGCCTAGTATCGACGTACATGTGGTCGTCGCCTGTTACCGTGGCAACCGTCTCCGCGTTGCGGACGACGTCGTAGTTCGTGACAACGCCGTTGGGATGTTCGGGCGGCTGCCAGTAAACCTCTGCCGTGTGAGAGTCAATGACGACGATGACGGGATCCTTCAAACCTGAAACAAGAGAGCATGCGCGTGTTACGGAAGCCACATCTATACAAGTTATATGTTATAATAACAGGATACATAATGCCATGAACATATATGTGTATCCCATGAGATAACCACATATGTTAATAATAATATCATAAATGTATCTATACTCTCATGGTAACCCTAATACTAACCATAAACCCTAAATCCTAACACTAATCATAACTGTAAAGAATAACCCTAACCCTAACCTAACCAAAATGTATAACCACATGTATGTGTAGTGATCATATTTGAGTGCACGCACGTGCACACGCACGCACGCACGCACGCACGCACGCACGCACACACACACACACGTGAGTATAGATATGTTTATGATATTATGATTATAATGAGTTATGGTTATAGTTAGTATTAGGGTTGCCAACGTACGATTTCCATTATTCCTGCCACAGACAATATATTCTACGTGTGATAAGTCAATATGTAAACCATAATGTAGTTCACCATGACAGCTATTCACTTATGAGTTGATTACTGCAAACAGGAATCGATCGGACAGATTAACTCGGACGCGTTTCCCCACCGAGGATTCGCACGATTCTCTGGCGAGGCTACGCTTGTATAACGACCGTTACGAGTTCTCATCGTATCTAATGCAACTGCCATGTGTCACCCTAATTATCACAAACACGATCAGTGCACGGCCTAATTATGGAATGTATTATTCAATTTGTTATATACTGCATTATATTATATTATATTATATTATATTATATAATGTTATATTATATTAAATTATATTATATTACATTATGTTTTATTTTTGTGAGTACATGAATACAGATTTATTCATGTAACTCTGGCATATTATATCACAACATATCACATCATATCATATAATAACATATCATATCATATTACCAAGAGTGAATAATAGAGAAGTTATTTTATTATATTACATCATACCTTCAGGTAGAGCCTCTGCTGTCCTGGTAAACACAGGGCTGCTGTCCTTGCATCCTGCAGATGTACACGCCAGCAGTACGACCTCGTATCTCCCGTACGATATCAGATCTACGGGAACAATTATCAAAATCTCATTACAGCAGGCAATCAAAATTATTGCATGAAAAACCATGGTTTCTTAACCATCACTAACAGCATAAATAATTATATCCGTTTTACTGTTTACTGGCTGTTACCGTTTTGAGTATATTGGGCTACAATCTATAGACAAGTGGAACTTTGTTTAACCTGACAAATCGTTCATATCCACAAATATTTCTGCATGGCTCTCTTCAAATTTCTAGTGTTTGGCTTCAAAAATCAACCACAACAATGATAGCAACTGCTGAATACGTCAGCACAGATGCAGAAAATTATACAATTTCACCTACAGTTTCACCCCTATCG